AGTTATCCCCACTACCATCAGGGCTGTTAAGAACTTCAGATGGCATTAACTATGTTCCAGTACAGATATAAGGAGCAAAATCTGAGATGACTAGGAAGCACATGCAAATTTCAGAAAGTAGACAAAGCAAATTGTTTTTATTGAGCCTGCAAAATGCTTTTGAAATTAAATTACTTTACAAAGTGTGCTACATGCTTGCATAATGTGGAAGAGCTGTTAGTGTGCTTGCCTTGTAAGACTGATCTAAGCTTAATCCTTAGCAATAGCAAGATTTTTGTCCCCCAACTAGTAGAGCTCTCGGCTTCATAAAATGGATGCCAAACAATATTAAGAATTTTGCTGAAACATGTTAGTGAGGGAAAGGTAGTAACAAACGGAAATGAGCACTACAAATTGTTGTGACCTAGAATAGTGGTTGCTAGTTAGCTAAGACCTGTGAAACTCTTATTTTTGAAGGTCTGCCAGGGACCACATACTTTCTTAAGTCATACTGAATAGTTTATTATAAAGTAAAGGACCCTTTTTTTTTGTTGCCTTCAGGCATATTGGGCATATAGGGCCTGACTATATTTTACAGACCAACTGGCACTTGGTAGATGATGTGGTCAGCCTCAAGCTAGCCGCCTTTATTTAGCACCAATTTGAGGCTTAGTTGACCTGGGAGACAAGGTAATTTCTTTTTTTTTTTTTTAAGTCTGGCTTTGTCGGGAGCTAAACTTAAGATTTCGGATCCGTAGGCAAGTGTCTAGCAGATACATCATGGTGGCTTTCTTGATCACTTTTACCTACTTGACATTTAAAAGAAGCTGAGTCATAAACTTATGAAAAACATCATCACCATTTGGGTTCCAGAATGCTAGCTTGGAGGGGAAAAAAAAACAAGACTCACTGCCTCCTTAGCAAATATGTCGTAAACGACGACTATTTAGGAGTCTGGTAAAACTGGATGTCTTAGTCCAAAAGGCATAGATATTTTAGCCGAGCTGTAAACCTAAAACAATGTGCTAACTGCCCCCCCCCCCCCCCTCCAAAGGGCAAACAAAGAAGAAGAAAAACATCATAAAAACATTTTGTTTTTCCTACATGGGAAGAGAAAACAAACATGTATTAGCTGAAAAGAATTGTAGAACAAGAGGAACAGGAAAATAGTGAGAGAAGAAACTGGATGTAAATGGAAACCAAGCAGTATGGGAAAAGTTGAAGACAGAAACTGGATGTCTTAGACCAAAAGGTGTAGATATTGTAGCCGAGCAGTAAACCTAAAACAATGTGCCAGCTGCCCCCCTCTTTGTAAGGGCAAACGAAGAAGAAGAAAAACACCATAAAGACATTTTGTTTTTTCTGCATGGGAAGAGAAAACCTAGAACATGTATTAACTGAAAAGAATTGTAAAAGAACAGGAACAGGAAAATAGTGAGATAAGATTCATGGCAGCAGGTTATCATGATGAGGCAAACAGAACACAAACTGTTATGATCTATTTGATCCTGAGAGATGTGGAGAAGATTCATGACAGCATGTTATCACAATGAGGCAAACAGAACACAAACTGTTTATGATCTAACGTGATCCTGAGAGATGTTGAGAAGATTCATGACAGCATGTTATCACAATGAGGCAAACAGAACACAAACTGTTATGATCTATTTGATCCTGAGAGATGTGGAGAAGATTCATGACAGCATGTTATCACAATGAGGCAAACAGAACACAAACTGTTATGATCTACTTGATCCTGAGAGATGTGGAGAAGTATGCTCATGCTAGTAAGTCATTAGTAAGACAATGATGATCAATGTAAGACAAGCCCATGTATACTATTTTATTTTACCCTATGAAAATAAAGTTCTGCTCCAAAAGTCCTAATGCAGCTTAGATCTCAATCAACTATCACAAATTTATCCTATGCTCTGCTATCAGATGCAGTCCCCACATAATTTTTTTTCCACATCATTGTCTAATTATCTTCCCTGTGCATTCTTGTTTGGTTCTGCCTTTATTCCTTTCAGCCTGCGTCCAGTGCCAGTACATTATAATGAGAATCATCTGTATTAGAACATTCTAATGAGAATCATCTGTATTACAATATTCTAATGAGAATCATCTATATTAGACCATTATAATGAGAGTCAACTGTATTAGAACATTCTAATAAGAATCATCTGTATTAGAACATTCTAATGAGTCATCTGCAGTCCTTCTTATTGATCAGATTGCAAATCTTCATTATCTGCAATACATACGTCAGCAAATGAGGTCTAGTACATTTTTCGCACAGGAGACATGGTAGTGCAATTACTAGCATTCTAGCTTGCTGACATAGTGGTCCTAGGTTCATATTCAGCTCAGAAGAGACTTTTTTTTAACAAGAGACTTGGACTCTCAGGTCCAACCTGCCTAAAACGGATACCAGGAACTCACCTAGTAAGTAATAACTGCCTGTATGATTTTGATCTCATCATCTATCTAGTCTCCATTGGCATTTCCTCTTCTTTTTGTTCTCCCGCTATGAAACATGTGTTGCAATGACTGTCTTCAACTTTTCCCATACATATTAGTTGCTAAATCTCTTATCTAGCAAAGAAAGGACCAGAATTTAAGTGTCTCAAAAACTGCCTTGCTGTTAGTTAAGGATCCTCGCCGGTGCTACGGAGCCCAGACACTGCAGTGAGCTACTTCGGACTCACACTTGAGTTAGAAGTAGAATGGAGCACTAATGGGTTACTACCTGTGTGATCCATTGTTCAAACTTTAAACTTCCCATACAGCTTGCGTGGTTTCCATTGAAGTGCAAACCTACTTAACCAGGTATCTCTCTACTGCATGTAGAGAGCAGGTAGAGTAATGATGAGTAATTCTGTGGTGCCGGTCCACACGGGCAGAGTCTTTTGTTCTGTGCATCTTTTCCTTGGTTTGGCCAATTGAAATTGTTACACAAAAATATGGAGTTAGAACCTTATGCCCCCTATGTCTAATGGCAAAAAAATCTCTTCCTCTTTATATTTTGTTTTACTGGTAAGGGGAGCATGTTTGTATCCACTGTGAAAGTCACCAATAAAACCGAGATCTCAAAGTTCACTTGATGTTTGTTACTAGTTACAGATATCTTTATTTCCACTATCTCATTAACAGGTTACATTAAAAACTGGGAATGATTGATATCTAAAGTCTAAGGAATAATGACATGCAAATGGTTTGCTTAACTTTCACTTTCTGTATTTCACACATTCTATACAAGATATGTAACTAGCATTTTGTTTAATTTTCCTCATTTTAAATATTTAATACCACCTGCCGTCTACACCTCCATGTGGTCATCCAGGTTCCCAATCAGGGGCCTGGCTAATGTAAATAGGATCAATGTTAGCTTCCAAGTCAAGAGTGGATCTGCTTGAGAGGTGAAGAACCAACAGTCTGCACACAATAATTCAGATTTGTAAATCAGATGTGCATGCAAAACTTAAGCCCTGAACAAGACTAGAGAGCAGAAGTGGATGAACATTCAGGGTTTGCCGTTTTAATTTACAATTGGTAAATTTGAAGAAGATGCCACTTGTAACAAAGGTGTAGTTTTCAAAATTACAAAAATCAATATAATCCTTATTCTTCAAAGTAAATTAAACTATATTAAAATTAACAATAGAGGAATAGTTTCTAGACATAATTTTATATCATAACAGTTTTTGACTTTTTTGTCTGCTGCCTTTAATGCTCAACACAGCATAAGTCCCCAGCCAATTATGTTAAACCATTTTTGCTCATGCCAGGTTGGGTTTCATAGCTAAATTTTACTGGATGAGGTAGCCAGGCTCGTGTTGTGTTTTTTCATATTTGGAAAGCAACTCCATATTTTAAAGTACGTAACAATTTATTTATTTATGGTAATTTGTGTGTGTGTTTGATCTTTAATTCAAGAGAATGTAGTCTGTAAATTAAATCTGTTTGTATCTGCGTGTTTCAGAGTGATTATTTTGTTTTGGAAGAACTTAAAGGGCGAACATAAATTGCGTCTTCCATTCCACATGAGTTCCTGCTAAAAATCAGTTGATGTGATTCCTAGGTGGCTCGAGAAGCTGGTTGAAAAATAGCCAATCACAGTATTTCTTAAAATACTAATACTAAAATGGCAATTTATCTTACTAATATAAACTCCAAAACAGCATGCCAACATTTATTTCAAATTGTAACGAAAAGCCTTTTCACAACAAAATATATAGCTATATAGACACATTCAGTTTCATTGCAACAAACTCAGGCTTCTTAGGTGGCACAGACTATCAAAGAAGTGAGCTCTCTGTATAACACCTTCATCTAAATATCATTCTGGATACTCAATGTTTTGTATGTTTTCCTCATGTGCTCACATTTATTCATCTTAAATTATCTTTTAAATGTTTTATCCAAATTATGACATTCTTTCACGCACACAACACACAGAATATTATTTTCAAAGGCAGCATATTTGTGTAAGATAATGTGGAAATTTAGAAATGTGAAGCAATAAATACTTCATTGTGAGATAAACTGTTACACTGCTGTATAAGATTTTACCTCAAATAACACAACACTGAAGCAACTGGAATATTTCTTCAATGTAAAACATACAAAATATAGTTTATGTGTAAATTCTGCAACATAATAATAATCATTTAAAAACAACCAAAGCAGTTTGGCTGTAAGCCAAACACTGACCATTTCTTCATCAATAACATTTAAATACATTAAAAAATAACATGGTCAACACATAATTAAACAAAATAATTGGGGAAAACATATTTTTTTTTCAATAAATGCATATTTCTTTCACTCCAGTACAAAACAATGAAAAGCTGTTTAATTTTTTTCTTATACCTCTTACTTTCACAAATGCTGAAATAAATTCCCGTTTCAAATTTTTTATCTTATAACATCCCAGTATGGTATCTGAGCAAATAAAGCCAGTTAACATTTTTTTTAAACCTGAACACATAAAGCTATGTAACACTTTTCTTGTAAAATGTTCAATTCTTGACTGGTACACTGATGTTCATGTCAGCCAGAACTTCTCTGATTGCCTTCAAAAGTATGCGCATGTCTTCTGGGTGGAGGTCACCGATTGTACCAATCCTGAAGCAGTCGATGTCCAACACTTTGCCAGGGTAGATTACTAAGTCTGCAGAAGAACAAAGTACTGCTTTAAAAAAAACAAAAACATTTTTGGTAAGCAGGTAATTGTTCTGCACCAAGATTGCTGTGCATAGGATTCTCAAGGATGAGAATCAAACAGGAGGAAACCCTAGAAAACTCGCTTAGCCATATAACAGTTATATTATTGCACGCCCACAGTTACAAAGTAACCTGCAGTCCTGCAAGGCAGGGAGTTTTTTGGCTTAAACATTTTGGTAGTAAAAACAAATTTGATCAAAATAAGAAATTTGTTTCAATTTAATTATTAACTAATAACTTAAAAGTTTTAACAAACTGAAAGAAAACAAAACATACCATCTTCCTAAAGAAAAACATGTGACATGCTTGACTGTAAATATTCTAAATAAATCAGAAATTCAAAATGCCTTATGTGAGAGGGTGATATATATTAATAGATACCCAAGGTACAATGTTTCAAATGCCAGTATATCAATAGTATCTGTATTTGTTTAAGTAAACACAAGACAACAAGGTCACATTTTAATGTCCCAAACAAAAAAAAGTGAGTAAAGGATAAAAGAAGAGTACACAAGGACAGCTCTCTGGTCGATGGAAACAGAAAAAATATGGACAGCATAAATAAACCTAGGGAGCAGCCAAGGTGTAGCGGCTAGACTCTTGCCTGCGGATCGGAAAGTCATAGGTTCGGGTCCTGACAGAGCTGGACTTTTTCAAAACTGACCTGGGTTCCTAGACTGACCTAGCCTTGAGTGGGTACCAAGCACAAGTTCTAGGAAGTAAAGGCGGCCGGTGTGATGCTAACCTCATTACCCACCAAGTGCAAGTGCCAATTGGTTTATAAAATATAGGTCTAGCCCTATATGCCCGATACATATGAAGGCACGAAAAAGGGTCCTTTACTTTTTAAATAAACCTACAGAAGGAACCAGAAGAAGGACAATAAAAGAGAAATGAAGGAGAGAAAACTGACATGAGATAGCATGAGCGGGAAAGCTACAGCCCGGCAGCAACAGAGATCACATGTAAACATGTTGATGATGACATTAAGAGAATACTAATATAAGATATTCAGTCACCTTCCCCATTTCTTCTTCTTCTGCCTTTCTATCCCCCAATGGAGCATACGCCCTCAACCAACTCACGCCAAGTGGTTCTATCCTTCGCTATTGCATGGAGCTCTTCCCATGTCCTCCCTATCTTTCTAATTTCATTCTCCAGCTCTCTTCTCCGTGTATTTTTTGGCCTTCCTTCATTCCTATGCCCCTGTGGGTTCCAATGCAAAGACAATCTAAATATGCCGTTATCCGGTTTTCTCAATGTGTGTCCTTTTACTAAACAGAAAAACAATTCAGTTTTCAAGTAATACCTTTCTCATTGAGTCTGTTGTAGAAATCCATGAAGTCAAAATTGGGGTCTTTGGGGTACAAATATGAGGAAATAATGTAGCCTGCAATCTTCTCATCAAGAAGTTCTTTGAATCCAAGTTCTCTCATTCCTTGCCTTAAGACAGCCCTGTTCTCTTGATACCTGTAAGGAAAACATGCTAATTATCTACTGAGAATTTATAGAAAATAAAATTTAAACATTATTTCCTTGTAATGGTGTTAACTGTAAACAGTATGTGTTCATATTTTTAATATGCTCTGACTTAACATAAGAAGTACAATTAAACGTCACATGATTGTAACATTTGGAGAACAGTCAATCACACATAAAAAATATTTCCTTGGAATGATGCTAACTTTAAACAGTAAATGTTCATATTTTTAATATGCTCCAACTCCGTGTGGGGGAGGGGTGCGCGCAAGTGTGTGCCTGTGTGTGGTGTACACCAACCCCCTTCATGGTAAATTTTTTTGTTTTTATAAATGGATGGATGGACGGATTCCCTAGCACAGCCATTTTTACAGCTGGGGTCTACATAAAATAATTATTTCTTAAATAAGCATACTTAGTTTTTGTTAAACCTTCTCTCATACCCCCCCCCCCCCCCCCCCCCCCCCCCCCCCCCCCCCCCCCACACACACAGTGCTTACCTTCTCATTTAGTAAACTAATTTGTGTGTGTTCTAAGACAGCTTAAAAAAACCCAAAACAAAACAGAAAGAAATTAAAGACTAAATTACCTAATTCTAACCAGTATGTCAAACAACAAAAGAAATTAAAGTACTTTATGATACCTTTTAGATCGCCCAGCAAAGCCTCCTTCTGCTTCAAACTCCTCAAGGCTTTGCTTAAAAGCTAACATAGAGTGAGTGGGTGGTGTGAATCGAAATTGGCTGGTTTTGTCTAGCTGCTTGACTTGATCATACAGATCAAGACTCAGAGTGCGAGAGTTTCCTAAAGACAAAAAAAAAAAAAAAAAGTTTCAGGTGTAAAATATGCAAGATGTTTTAAATGGGGATCTTTTATTCTTCCACAATCCCACCACAGCCACCGTCCTCCCATGAACTGAGTACAGTAAAGCAGTTTTGACTGTAATAACACATCCTGAGGATTTGGCATCTGGCTTTCAGATTCCCCTCAAAAATGCAGTGCATCTGCCTGAGAGACAGGAACCAACAATCAGTATAGAAATAAGCCAGATCTGTAAAATGGATGTGCATACAAAACTCAGGTTCTGGAACAAGACTAAAGTCCAGTGTGGATGAACAACCAGAATCTTCCCCCAGAGTTTACAGCAAAGAAAGCAAAGAAGAAACATATAAATTCATTACATTTTAGTTTGCTTTCTATTTTGCCTAACTCTAACAAAGTACTGCCTGGTGACAGAATATTCTGGACTGATACAAACAATATTAACTCTTTATCCCCAATTAGTTGATGATTTGACTCCCTCTATTCCAAGGAGCACAGTATAAAATCAATAAATATTTTGGTCTAAAGAAGTTCAACATAGACACCATGAGACAGTAGTAGCTGTAACAATTCACAAAGAAAGGGTTAATTCAGTGAATGTCTGCGGTAGAAGACAACAACATTATATTTCTTAGGAATGATCAAGATAGGTATGATGTGTTGTTTAGTACTGAAAGGTCCCCATGTGGGTTCCGGGGCCCTATTGTAGGGAAACCAAGAATAGACCCACTGCCTACCCAAAAGCATGTCGTAAGAGTAGAGTAATTAAGAGCTTCCTTCAAAGTCAGAGTGCATCTGCCTGAGAGGCAAGGAACCAACAGTCTGCACACAAATCAGTCAAATCTATCAAACTGATGCACACGCAATACTCAGGTTCTGGAATAGGAGGACTGCAGTGAACGCGAAGAAGAAGGTACTGAAAGAGTGAAAGAGTTAAAACTGAATTGGTAACAACAAAACATGCTGGCTTCTAAGAAGAAAAAAAAAAGAGGGGTTGGGGTAAGGGCTAGCTACTGAACTATTTGTATTTTAGTCTATCTCTGATAGTGGCTACAGATTTGTTTATTCCACACTGATTACCTTTGCACTTGTCGATGAGTTCATTTCTGGCAACAACAAAAGCAAAGCCTGGAACACCCTGCAAACATTTATTCGCTGAGCTGATGAATACATCGATTTTGCTGGCTTCTAGATCTAAGGGCACAGCACCAAAGCTGCTGATGGCATCCACCAAGAAAATGGAATCTAGAAAGTGAAACAAAATCAGGCTCCAATAATAACAATGTATACTTTTGTTTGAAGGCGAATAAGAATACAATTTATATGAAAGAAAAACACTGTAACAATGAGGACAACATTGTGATTCTAACTGGAGATTTTATGGAATTGGATGTTTTGGGCCAAAAGGCTCAGATGTAAAACAAATACAATACGCAGGCTGCCCTCTCAAGGGTAAATGCAGAAGATGTTATGGCATGAAAAAGTGACAGCACAGACTATTACGTCATGCCAGAGATAAGACGCAGAGAAACATAATTGCCCACACTTGACAATGGCGATGATAATAGCAACTGAATTCAATTTGTAATAATCAATTTGTCATTTCTGAAAAATAAAATCCTGATTGTACATTAATATTTATACATTAATATTTATACACTGGTAAAGGTCCCTTTTCCACGCCTTTAGGTGTATAGTGCATATAGGGCTAGACCTATATTTTTATAGACCAATCGGCACAAGATGGGTGATGTGGCCAACATTACCCCAGCTGACTTTACTTACTGGGTCGACCTGAAAGTCAAGGTCATTTAAAAAAAAAAAAAGGCTGGCTCCACCAGGGAGCGAACCCACGGCATTGGTGCAGTGGTTAGTGCATATTTCTGTCAAGACAGTAATCCAGGTTGGATTAATCCTTGTGCAAGCAGGATTATTTTATTCCAGCCAGTATAGCTCTGAGGTCAACCCAGCATAATCAAAATGGGCATGAGATAATTTTCTTTAGAAAAATGCTAGTTGCTGCTGAGTGTCTGATCAGTTCCTTCTACCTCTGTCGGTCAGATGCAATGGATTTGACATCTGCTTGCAACATCAATACACATCCGTATTTCCATACCATCTACTAATTCATATTTGTGCAGCCTCCATATGTCCATATCATGAACACATCCATGTTTCAACAGCTTCTACATATGTATCTACATTTCAAAAGCTTCCATGTAACCACAATTGAACATTATAACATTTACTAACAAAGAAAACATTAAAAGAAGACACTGTCCTGTACCTGGTGAACGGCTCTTTACAATATTTCCCACCTCGGTGACGGGATTAATTACACCTGAGCTTGTCTCGCTGTGTACAACAGCCACAAGATCATAATGAGTACGGCCACTCAAGGCATCGTCTATCACCTCTGGTTCTACCTGGCGATCCTCCCGGAAGCTCTGGACATCACAAGCAATACCAGCTGCTTCACAAATCTTGACCATTCTCTTCCCATACGCTCCGTTTTCAATAACTAATGCCTGAAAATAGAATCAACAGAAAAAAAAATTACCCCCAAAACAACTGAATTCTTGAAAAAAAAAAAAAAAAATTACAAACACCTTTTAAGCAGTAGTTGACTTCACCTTTGAAATAAAGGATTGTCAATTAAAAAATTCAATGGCAGCATTAATATGCTAAATGAAAACTATCCAGTTATTCTCCAATGGGAGTACCTTTTTTTAAATCACGATTTTTAAATTTCCTGGATTTGACTTGATTTTACTGCACACAAAGAGTATAAGATGCAGAGCTGTAACTGAAAAAACCAGCATGGCAGTACTGGGTCTGAAATCCAATCAAAGCAGGATTATTTTTTACAAACACTGAACTAACTTTTCAGGTTGAAATAAATTAAAATGGGCACTAGCAAACAGAAAATTAAGAAATAAGATACAGTGGAACCTCCGGAAATGAATTTAATCCGTTCCATGACTGAGATAGAATGGTGACAAAGTTGTATCCTGGAACAATTTGATCCATTATGTAAATTGTTTCAATTCACTCCAATCCCCAATACTCACCTTATTTGTTTGAAAATGACATTTTCATTTCATAAATGGGGAAAATATGTGGCTAAGCTGTTTGCTTTAGTCGGCAGCAGAAAATGGTGTTACTTCTGACCATGACGCTACAGACCATCATCATCCAGTGCCTTGACTCGCTTAAGTCCTCCTTTGACAATGTTAATGTGACCTAATCCATTCAAAGTTAATGAGATGCTGCAGGGTAGGGCTATTCAACTGGCAGCCCGCGGGCCAAATCTGCCCCAGGGAGGCCTAGTCAAAGGCCAGCAGATCAATGACAGTAGTATTGTATTAATGACCTTTCCTTGCTGGGGCTTTGGCCTTTGCCCCATGACGATCCTCATTATCAAAATATTGGCCCTTGAGTAAACTAACGAAAAGCCATGTTGTAGGGTAATGCTGAGAGTTCTCGTCTCTCCAGCTCACTACCTGGATGTCTCCTCATATCTGAAACAACAAAAACTGTTAAGCCTGGCCTCATATTTTGAAACTCATTTCCAGGTATACTTGTGACCCCAGATTCTACTGTATTGACAACATTATCCATCAAGTTCTGATTGGTTTATAACATTTTGGGATCAAAAATTTCTCATGGTGTGGAAACAGCCCCTTTATTTCACTTACCCTTGCTCCTTCCTTTGGTAAGACAGTTTGGAAAGAAGCATCAACAGCAAAGGTTCCACTTCCTTGCATAGGAATACAGCTGAATTTTTTATTGGTCACTCCTTTAGACAGAAAGATGGAAAAAAACAATGCACTTTTACAAGTCACATTAAATGTTAACTACTGTAGTTTCTTTCTCTGCACCTGCCCTTAAAAGAGCATTTGGCAAGTTGTATTGTGGTTTACAGCTAGGCTGCAATATCTGCACCTTTCTGCCCAATATTCGCTGCGATTTCAGTAAACCTCCGATTAGTTGCCCTTCACGGCATTCATGCTGGGCGCTATTTTTGTCACCTAAAATGCAGCCATGGAACCCATATGGAGAACTACTATAATGAATCCTGTTTTGTCTAATGGCATATTCCTATTTTGATTTTTATGAAAAGACCTATATAGGTTTCTCTCTAAAAGTCAACTTCTTATACAATATGTAACTACTAAATGCCTCCATTAGTATGATGCCTCCTATTTAACTATTTTACAATAAAGCAAATAATGTACTCAGAATCAATATAACCAAAGTAATTTTGTTTTGACTGTATAATTAGGAAATAAAGAAATTGTCACAAAATGCCCTTAAGAAATTACACTTACACTAGACTATTACAATAGTGGCCAAAGTTTAAGACCACCTAGTAAAAAATACAGATTTTTTTCTATACTGGTATTATTGTTGTTAAAATGGGCACTAGTGATTAGTGTTTAGAAAGGATTATCATCACAGCACTCCGGACAGATCCATAGATGCTCCGATCTCCTCCTCAAAAGCTCTACAAGTGTAAAATGACTGATGACGCCTGTTCTGTGTTGGTTAATGAAACGTCTTGTCCCCTTAGGGAAATGTTTATTTCTTGCAGCTCCAGGCTCCACCTCCATATCCATCAGTCTAGACAGAGATATAGGTAAGTGTAGCGCATGGCATCGATAACATCACTTCTGTCCAGTACAGCATAGCAACCAGTGTCAACAAGATAATCTGCACGATCGTTCCCATGAACACTCGCATTGGTGTTCCCATCCCATACTCTGTGTGGGAAAACCAAACATTTAGTAGTTTGTCTAGTCACCACTTTACTTTCCTGGATTACAATTCTACTAAAAACAAAAGCCCCCCCAAAAAAAGGAATGTTGGTTCCCATTAAAAACAACAAATGTTTGTAATTTCTTGTGATACTGTGAATTGTTATAGCCAAAAGTAGTTTTATAAATTATACATACATTCAGTTAGCAGTAGTGCTCTCCTACTAAATAGAACATACCTGCAATTTCTAAAATCTTTTGACGTATGAACTTGATACAAGCAATAAACTCGGTGTCTCTGGAACCAACATCTCGCAGCATGGCCTCTTTCACACTCATGGTAACACCCAGAGGACCAGGTGTATACAGCTTCTTGGCTAAAATATGAAAGTCAAACAAAAGTATGTTATATATATAGTAAAAGGAAGATTTTATTCCCTACTTATATTTCTGTAAATGAAAAATTATATTTCATTCAATCTTTCCCTGCACTACAGGGGACACAGAAATCTGCTGCAATAAAAAGTAATAGGAAGAAAGTACAAATTTCGTGCAGGTAATCTTCTTTTGTTCGCGTGAAATAAATTATCTACAACTGCAATGCTGTCTCTAGTATGAATTTCACTGTCTTTTGTAATTCACTAAGCGGCCCGTAAAGTTTGACTTCCACAAGTGTCTCTTTTGGCCAAAGGTTTTGCCTGAAAGCGTTGAATCTGGGACAGTCTTGAAGGATGTGATCTGTTGTTTCAGGTGCCAGTCCACAGGTAAGTGCAGGTAATCAAAATCCCAGGTCTGCAGGCTTTTCTCCTGTTGGCTTCTAAAGACATAAGCCATGACGAATTAGAGCCCTAACATACAGAAGTGAGGTTAAAAAGCCATGTGCAGGATGTGACGATTCTTTGGGTGAGCCTAGTACAACAGCACCATGTATTAGCTCTGCATTTATGAAAGCCTCCTTAGATGGCAGAAGAAGTGTGTTGGGTGGTTGGGAGAAGTCAGCAATACTGAGTTTAAACTCTTTAAAACTCATGTATTGATGATCTGAATGCTCATGCCACAACAAAGGACTACATCTGGCGCTGCTAGATTAGTTGAGTTTTTCATCTAGACGAGGGGTAAGCAAAATATGGTCAGCGGGCCAAAACAGGCCCACCTCGCAGTTTTTAAAGGCCCATGAGGCTGTTTAAAATATATAATCTGGCCCTTGTGCTCACAAAATAGCAGAACACAAAACATACAGAAGAGCTTATGTGGGTAAGTGTGCCTGGCCAGAGGTTTGGCAAGGGATTATAATGTTAGATTATTCCAGAAAAAATATTTTCTTAATGAAATCTGGGTGTTATGCTTATAATAGATTTTTCTATATGTCCTGCTGCAGGTTGGGAATTCTAAATTTGGCCCGAGAACCAAAAGCAGTTTCCCACCCCTAATCTAGATTCAGTTCAAACCAATCTCTCAGGGACTGTTTGTCTTGGGTGTGCATCATCATCATCATGAACTTCTGCCATGCCGATAAGCGTAGGTAGTCATGTGTCGCCATCTCATATGATCATCAGAATCATTAATCAAACCAGTGTTCTTGTCTCATCCCAATCATATGGCTTAACCATATACGTATTTATCTCTTTGTCTTCCCCTTGCTCTCTCTCTCTTTGTGTCTCTCTCTCTATCCACTAATCTTGCCACTTATAACCAAGTTCTCATGACAATTCTTTCACATGTCAAAAAAAAAAACGTGTGTCTATTCTCTCAACAGTTTATTGTTTCATCTTCCTCGAAGATGACTGCCTCTGTTTTTGTATCATGCTATGATATTTTTTTCATTCTTTTCAAAACACACATCACAGCAAATAAACTTTACTAGTCATCCCCATGTGGCATGCAATTTATTGTTATTTGAAGCCCCACCCTGACATTTGCTGGGAGCCATGAGTATAGCCGGGCCTGAAATATGGCCTCAAGATTGAAAGGGGTTTCTGGGCCTCTCTATGGGTGATTCACATCCACATGGTGGCACTCTGCGTCACCGGGTGTTATTCGTTTGTGTGATGTCGTGGTGGGGTACAACTCTACCTAGCAAGTAAATGTTTTTCAGTGAGTATGCATATTGACTAGATGTTGCCTATGTGCTGCTTTAGTTAAAATTCTATTATTTCTCACACCAGTATTCTTAGGTTCAGTGGGTTGCACTGACGGCAAAAATTCTGCACAGGATTTATCACATGACCCCTTCAAGGTCTATAAATATAGAACTGCAGTCTGCTTTTACTTCCTAGTCAATTTCTTGGCACCTATTTCAGGTTGGATCAATGAAACTTCTTACTTGTGTTTATTAAGTGGAAAATTCTGGTTGTTGGTCCATTTCAGGACCCTGGTCTTGTTCCAGAACTTGAGCTGTGCATGCAGATCTATTTTGCCGATCTGTCTCATTTTATGCAGACTGTTGGTTCTTTGCCTCTCAGGCAGATGAACAACTTAGAAGGAAATGCCCCTATTAGTCACCTCCTCCGTACAACATGCTTGTTAAGGAACAGTGGGTCTCTTCTCTTTCCACACCCCAATGAGGCGCCCAGAACCTTGGTGGAGCTCGATGAAAAAAATCACTACCTTCAGTGAAATTTGAGCACCTGAATACAGGGATACCTGATAGGAGGCAGGCAGGTTCGCATGCTTCACAGTGCATTAATACTGACTGCTCCCTACCATCAAAATTTTGGGCTTTTCTTATATTCCATAAACCTGATGTAGTGAAGTCATTTTCTAGTCTATCCTCGGGTTTTTCCAGCATCAGAAAAGCCTAATGTATCAAGTATTCAGATAAGTGGATAACTGGATACACTGTCTGAGATATGTCTCAGATAAGTGGATAACTGGATACACTGAGATATGTCTCAGATAAGTGGATAACTGGATACACTGTCTGAGATATGTCTCAGATAAGTGGATAACTGGATACACTGAGATATGTCTGAGATAAGTGGATAACTGGATACACTGTCTGAGATAAGTGGATAACTGGATACACTGTCTGAGATATGTCTCAGATAAGTGGATAACTGGATACACTGTCTGAGATATGTCTCAGATAAGTGGATAACTGGATACACTGTCTGAGATATGTCTCAGATAAGTGGATAACTGGATACACTGTCTGAGATATGTCTCAGATAAGTGGGCCCACTGTCTTGAGATATGCAGGGGTATGATGGAATGAAAGAGCAGATTTTTTTGCTACAAAAGCAATAGCTACAGGAACACTGATACTGGACAACAAAGGAGACATTGAGAAGACCGTTTATGAACGAATGCAGGTACAAGACACTAGGTTAGATGATATAATGTGTGTAAGAATGTGTGAATGTAGAATCAGGAGTGGATCAGACAAGGACAGATGTTGAAGAGGAGGAGAAGGAGGAGTGTATAATCAGCGTGCTATGGGCACTGTTAGTTTAGCATCTACACCTTAAGATATCTATGGGGTATATATATATATCTATGGGTATGCCAAGATTGCTATTTTACGATTTTTTTTAAAGTGATCAGTAGTATTTAAAAAAAAAAAACCATGAATAGTTCCCATGAGCGAAAGAGATCTCAATCAATCAGGTATCATCTACACAATACAGGTAGACTGCAATGGATCTTCAGCAGTCTTTCATTCTAACTGCACCTGAGACTGCTGTCTGTCACTTTCTTTATGCTATCCTCTCAATTCACTTGATGTCTACCTCTTTCAAGGTTTCCCTGGACAGATATAAAGAGTAATAAAGTCTTGAAAAAAATCAAGCCAAGAAGAGAACTGATTATCTGCCATTAAGAGACACTTTCTTTCTTTGGTCATATCACAAAAAAGGAGGAATCTAGAATACACCTGAAAGCCAGAAGGCTGAAGGAGAAGAGAGGCAGAGGAAGATCGAGAAAGATGGCATATAACCGCTTTTGCTTTTTCATAATTTGTGAGCGGCTGGATAAATGGTAATTGTTAGCCATAAAGCAACGCAGGGCAACTGCAAATGTAATATTATTTGTTGGTGCTCAACTAAAGCTTCACGAGCAGCGGAACACTTAAGCGTGGACTATCACCTCTCAAGCTGAAACCGTATTTGAAACACGTGTGTTCCATTCCATGGTCAGCGCGAACTTACTCAGTGTAAAGTGGTAATTTTTATATTAATTGATTTGTTACCTTTCAGCGGGGTCCTGGTTACTACAGACATGTTTCTGGTAACGGTAACGTTTACAAGCTGCGTCTTCTGTCTTGAAAGGTTTGTCTTAAAGATATTAGAATAAAGACGCGTAGGCGATATTATTACAGAGGGTCTGTGTGAAAACACAAAACCATACTGAGAACGCACTTGTCTACAAATCTGTGCTGATGATGATATTCTAGCAGCCATATTTATTGTCTCTGATTCCAGTACTCAGTACACAAAAACTGCACTTCACTGCAAAACTTTTCCTAAACTAGTTCTACGTGGCTCGGAATAATCCTCTGCAGTCAGGAGCTGAGTGCGGCAGATATGAAAATCAATCTTGCCACGTACTGGGCGCTGGGGACACACTGACTGACTGACTAGCAGAGAGAACGTAACTACACGCAACATGGTCTGATAGTCAGTAGTGACGGGTCATGTGACTTGGTCACGTGATCTTAGTGGATTCCATTTTTAAAGCCTTGCCATTAACTCTTAAAGTGGATGCCTTGGGGCTCTCAACGACGGCGGGCTGGTCAAACACGTACACAGCAAGGAAACAATAAAAGGCTGCACTGACAGGTGGCAGAAATAAGGCGTATGGATACGCAACAATGAAAATAAACTATTGGAAATCCCAAACAAGAAAACACAGTCCTAAAATAACCACTGCTCACACTTGGAGCTGGTTAGGGTGACTAGAACTTTTTTTTTTTAACGAACAAACTGAACTGAACTCTTAAAGTACTACCGTTGGGGGCTTCGTGGTCTCGAGGCATGGTGTCCGCCTCGAGTGCTAGAGGTTCCGGGGTCAATCCCCAGTAGGAGCTGGGATCTTTTCGTGTGGACCTGGACTTCTAGTAATTCCTCCTGGTCTCTGGGTAGTGAGATCGGAAGCCCCTGTATATCGTTGCGCACGTAAAAAATCCTTTGGAGGTTGGAAATCGAAAAGAGTAGCCTAATGTTGAAAAGCCACCTAAAGTATTTCAGGATCTTCGCCGGTGCTATATAGCCTGTGCACTATGCTGAGCTTTTTTGGAATCAGACTTGAGTTAGAAGAAGAACGGAGCACTTATTTGTTACTACCCGTGTGTCATGATATTGATTCGTTGTTCAAAACCTCAAAGA